TTTATTTATTTATTTTTGTGGAACTGGGAATTGAACTCAGGCCCTTGCACTTGCCAGGGAAATACTTATTCTACTGAGCCATCTCCCTGGCCCCCAGAACACACTTCTTAGACCAGATGTATACCAATACATCAAGCAGACAGTTCAGCAAAAGGATGCCTGGATGTCCTATACCAGGAATTTGGTACTCAGGACCTTGTGCTTTCCAGGTAGATGCTTCTGCCATTGAGCTATATTCTTGGACCATTCATTTTTTAAAGATAGGGTATAGTATTTATGTCTTATTTCCTGGTGTAAGATTATACTAATTTGTGCTTTTTTGAAGGATTTGCAAATTTTATATCCTCCCACTTATATACTATGGCCTGAATGCAGGGCCTTTGCACTGAGCTGCATCTCCAGCTGTTGTTCATTTTTGAGATAGTATCTCACTAAATTGCTCAAGATAGGTGCAAATTTATGGTCTTCCTTGTTCAGCCTCCTAGTAGGCAGGTGCTATAGATGTGTACCACCATGTCTGGCTAAGATTTGTATTTTCACTGGTTACATAAATTTGTTTAGTGTGACTCACATTAATCTTGAGACCATATACATTTAATTAATCTTTCTGTCTATCTATCTACCTACCTACCTACCTACCTACCTACCTACCTGTTTATTTGTATTTAGTACAGGCTGTCACTACACAGCTCAGGCTCGCAGTGATCCTCCTGTTTCAGACTCTCCAGGCGTGTGCCACCACAACCTGATCTTGGTGGCCAGCTCTGCGCACAGCACATGATGCCTGGGATTGAACCCTGGTCCATGTGCTTGCCCAAGCAGGCGTTTATCACAAAAGATCACATGTGATTATATGCATATGAAATATCCATACTGGACAAACGTTTAGCATAGAAAGTAGATTGTTGCTTAGGGGTAGGAGGTAAGTCAGGAGATAAGAATATGATAGGTAAAGTTGGCACAGGAATTTTCTTTTTTCTGGGGAAAGTTTTTACTATAAAAACTTAAAAAGATTGACTGTTAAGGAAAATGTTCAAAAATGTGATGGTTGCACATATCTGCAAATGTAGTAGCCATCATTGAATTGTATTGTCTATGAATTTTCCTAATAAAACTGTTAGACTGCTTATACCTAGTGAACAAAATTAAAGAGGTTCACAGATAAGTATTTTGTGGCATCAGATCATATTTAAGGAGGATCCATAAGGATCCATTTCACATTTATAGTAAGTAATCCATTAGCCCTTCAAATTGATTTCATTAATACTTCTGAGGATCCATTTAGTGTAGCTAATAATAGCTGATAAGCTGTAGAATATTTTTTGTTTGGTTCTTTTTCTTTTAAATGGATTTAGTACCGGGTCTCACTGCACAGATCAGTGATTCTCCTGTTTTCAGCCTCCCAAGCGCTGGGATTACAAATGTGTGCCACCACACTCAGTCTCAAGGTCTCAGCACCCAGCACAGGCACACCGGGGATCAAACCCCGGCTGCTGTGCTCTGCCTAAGCAGGCACTTTAGTCCGCTGAGCTATCTGGCTCGCCCTGTTTGGTTATTTAAACCTATTGAGGCATAATTTGCAGATACTTGTCTTTCATTTACAAAAGTTTTTAACTGGATTATTGTCAAGATTGGGATTAGTAGTTTTCAATCGATATGATTCAGTATGTTGACAAGTTACTTTTTTTAGAAGATTTGTACTAATAGTGTTTAGACAAAATATGTCTGCATCTTGTACTATCAAAAATTACTATGAAGACAATATGCAATGTATTAATTATTGTAATTGTCCTATTAACCTGTTTTGAAACTGTCTCATTGCTACTTTTTTCTCAATAAAATAATTTTTTAAAAAGTTACCTTTTTTTAAAACAGTACTAGAGATAGAACTCATTGTCTTTACACTAAGCTATAACCCTTTTATAGTTTTGAGGCAGGGTCTTATAAATTGCCTAGTCTAGGCTTGAATTTGTGATCCTTAATACTCCAGAGTGGAGGTACCACCATATGTACTATCACATAGTTAGTAATTACTTTTCTAGTTTTGTTCCTCTAAGAATTTGGCTTTCTAGGCAACTGACTATGGTTAGCCCCTTCCTAAATCTTCAGCATTTGAGTTTGTATGTGTTTTTTTCCTTCTGATTTTTAAGACAGTGGAGAATTGTGTAATTTTTAAATGGATTGTTATCATTTTTATATATTTTGCACTGCTGGAGATTGAATTTAGGACCTCACACATAATAAGCAAGAGCTTTACCACTGACCTACTTCCCTAACTCATAAAATGTTATTCTCATATCAAATTTTTTGCATTTTTCTGATTGATATTTTATCCAAATGATCTGTTCATGGGCTATAAAATTTGGCTTGTTAATATTAGAGTCTTCCTGTCTATTATATTTACAAGCAAAATTGTCACCTAACTTTCTGTTTTGTGCTGCTTCTGAGGTTTTGGAGACAGGGTTATGCTGCCTTCATAAAATTAATGAGATAGTTTTCCTTTTTTTCTTCCTTATGTCTTGTAAAGTTTATTTTGGTTTACAGTTTCAGAGGTTTTATTACATGGTCTGCGGCTCTAAACAGAAACATAATGTAGAAGACTATAGTAGAGGAAACCTGCCCAGGAGAGAAAGAAAAAGAGAGCCAGGCAAGGGAAGAAGGGACCCCAGGCAGGAATACTCTTCTGTGTCACTTCCAAATAGGCCACACCTTAAATAATCAACTCATGAATTGATTAGATTCACTGAAGAATATAGTATCTCTGTGATCCAGTCACCTTCTGACAACTCTACCTCTAAGCACATGAGCCTTTTTCGTGATGTTTTAGATCAGACCATAATGACTTTTTTTTGTGTGTGTGTGATACTGGGTATAGAACTCAGGACCTTATGCTTGCCAGGCAGGCACTTACTCTGTCCCTCCCTGGAGGCCTCTCTCCCCTGCCCCATCTCCAGCCTCGAACTCATGGCCATCCTCTTGCCTCAGCCTCCCCAGTGCTGGGATTTATAGGTCTGTGGTGTCATGCCTGGCTTTGTATTATTTAGCATGAATCTTATTGTTTATATTTGAGGTTTACAACTCAGATGTATGGAATACGTACAGATAGTAAAATGGTAACTAAAGTGAAGTCAGTTAATATACCTGTTACATCACATTTCTTTTTCTATGATAAGACCAGCTAAAACCTACTTAAGTCCCTAATGGGGAGCTGGGGAGATAACTCAGTGATCTGAGTGCCTGCCTGGCAAGCGCAAGTATGTGGGTTCAGTCCCTAGTACACGTGCCCTGGAACCTGTGTAGCAAGACCCTGTACCCCCCCAGATAAAGTCCCCTAATGTAATTTTAATTTCAGTTCTTTAGATCTAAAAACTTGTTAGAACTTAGACTTGTTTATCATACATATCTGCTATTTTGTGTGTTTAGGCTCACATCTTATTTCCTCTACTATAAGCAGTCGTGATACCAATTTTGACATGATAGTTTACAAATGCTTTTATTTTCAAAGAGCTAATTACCCAGATTTAATCTTATTTTTACAGTGTTCCTTTTCTTTTTTAGGCACGAGATGTACGTACCAATGAAGTGGTGGCCATCAAGAAAATGTCTTACAGTGGAAAGCAATCTACTGAAGTAGGTTAAATATATATGTCTATCCTTACAGGCATGTTAAAGAAAGACGTCCCATTTTTAATTGAGATAAAGGGTAGGAATTGTTTAATGTATAATGTACATAAAGGAAAACATAGTACTTATCACTATTTTTCAGTGATAGTACCCACTTAGCTACTAATTAAAACCTAAATAAGTAATTAGAAACATGTCAATAACCTCCCCAGTTGTATCTCCAGTTTTAATTTTCTAAACTATGGGGTTTTTTTTTGTTTGTTTGTTTGTTTTTGCGGAACCAGGGATTGAACTCAGATCCTTGCGTTTGCCAGTCAAGCGCTTATCCTACTGAGCCATCTCCCCAGCCCCTAAACTATGGTTTAATATGTCTTTGTATGAATATGTTCGAGGGATGATTGGTTTCTAAAAAACTATTGAAGTACAGTAATATGTACTTCACAGTAAATTATATGGATTATAATCTTTTTAATGGTTTAGAAATTGTTTGATAGTTGTTTTAAACAAACTTGCTTGGGGGATTTAGGATTTGAACTCGGGACCTTGTGCTTCCCAGGCAGGCACTTGTGCCACTGAGCTATATCCCTGACCTGTTAAACAAACTTTAATTAATGGTAGTATATATAATTTGAAAAGCCAAAAAATAAAATTAATGCTACATTTTAGTTTAATTGATTATTTTAGGTTGTAGTTGTTCTGATTAGTTGCATACATTTATTTGTAAAATACAATTTACTTGTTAAATTTGAGATTCTTTTTTTTTTTGCGGAACCGGGGATTGAACTCAGGCCCTTGAGTTTGCCAGGGAAGCTCTTATTCCACTGAGACATCTTCCCGGCCCCAAATCTGAGGTTCTGACAGTCTCTTAATTTATTTTATTTTTAATTGTTGTAAAATACACACAACAGAATTTACTATCTTTTAACCATTTATATGTATACAGTTCATTAGCATTAAGTACATTGATTTTTTTTTGTGTGTGTGTGTCACTGTTATACCACCATCCTTTGCTAGAATGCTTTTTATCATATAGAACCAGAATTCTGGAGCTGGCCAGATAGCTCAGCCAACTAAAATGCCTGCTTGTGCAGGCACAGGGACTGGGGTTTGATCTCCAGTGTGCCATGCTGGCCTTCCTGTAGGGTGTGCTGAGTGCTGAAATGGTGACTTGAGACTGGCGTGATGGTGCACGCCTGTAATCCCAGCACTTGGGAGGCTGAAAACAGGAGGATCACAGAAGTCTGACCTGTGTAGTGAGACCCTGTAGACCCTGCAGTAAATATATAAAGATAAAATAAAATGAAATTCTGTACCGTACTCATTAAATAAAAATTCCCCAGTCCCTGGCAAACACTGTTCTACTTTGTTTCTATTAAGAATTTGACTACTTTAGATACTTCATGTAAGGAGAAGCATTCACTATTTGTCCTTTTGTGATGGGCTTATATAATTTAATGTCCTCAAAGCTTATACATTTTGAAGTATGTGATAAACTTTTCTTTCTTTTTATTTTATTTATTTATTTATTTTTGTGGAACCGGGGATTGAACTCAGACCCTTGCTCTTGCCAGGCAAGCACTTATTCTACTGAGCCATCTCCCCGGCCCCTCTTTCTTTTTAAACTGTTCACATACTCATACCTCACATTTGTATTTATACCATCTGTGAGTGTGCATTTATGTGCCCATTTGAGTGGCTGTTCTGAATAATGATGCTATGAATATAGCGCCACAAGTATTTGTTTCAGTCCCTGCTTTCAGTTCTTTTGAGTATATGTTTAGTGTGGAATTGCCACTTTTATTTTAAATATTTTATTTTGCTAATTTTTGAATTTTATATTAAATCATGTTCTAGTGATAGTAGGTAAAATAGGTAAAAATATGATTATATATTTGCTGTCATTTTAATATTTTAAAATTCTTTTTTTTTTAAATTAATTAATTAATTTATTTTTGTGTGTGGCCAGCTCAGCCCAGCCCACCGGGGGGCGGGGCTGGCTGGCATGTGGTGCTGGGGGATCGAACCGCGATCCCTGTGCTTTGCCAAGCTTGTTCTGAGTAGGTGCTTTAGACCACTGAGCCATCTCTCCAGCCCCTAAAATTCTTAATATTATCTTGTAGGTTTAAATTTGCTCAGTTGTATAAACAACTTTAGGCCTACCTTTCACCAGGCTATTGATTATATACAATGTAGAAAGTCTAATTGATCAATCACAGCTAGAGCAAAACATGTATTTACTGCATCATTTTTAACATCATTTTATGGTTGTCTTTCATAAAATTTTTTTGCATAGATTATAATTTTTCTTAAGACTCTGCCTCTCAAATTAACCAAATTTGAAATTTAAAACCTAGGGGATTTTTTTGAATTTAGCATTTTATAATATATCTTACACATTTTATTTTTTTTATTTTTTATTTTTTTATTTTATTTTTTTAATATCTTACACATTTTATAAAAACCACTATGAACGGAGGTTGGGGAGATCGCTCAGTGGAATAAGTGCTTCCCTAGCAAGCGCAAGGGCCTGAGTTCAATCCCTGGTTCCGCCAAAAAAAAAAAAAAAAAAAAAGAAAACAACAAACATTTGGGGTCAGGGAGACGGCTCAGTGGAATAAGCTCTTCCTTGGCAAGCACCAAGGGTCTGAGTTTAATTCCCAGTTCCACAAAAAAACCCAAACAACAAACCACTATGAACATATTTTGATGTTTGAGGACTTGTAAAATAACATCAGAGGGCCCAGGGAGATGGTTCAGTGGAATAAGTGCTTGCCTGGCAAGCACAAGAGCCTGAGTTCAATCCTTGGTCCCCCCCCCCAAAAAAAAAAAAATAATAATAATAACATCAGAGGTATAGGCTCTTAAACGTAGTACAAAACATTTAAACAAGCTGGGGAGATAGCTCAGTGGCATAAGTGCCTGCTGGGCAAGCACAAGGTCCTGAGTTCAATTCCCAGTCCCAAAAAATACCTGTCAAGACATTTAAACATTTTTTCTTACACTACTTTCTCTACTCTTAATTACATAGCCTAAATCAACAATAAAGGTTAAAAAAATTAAAACAAGAGCACAAAACAATTTGGTAATCCGTATCCTACACCCACCAAACCTCTAGAATTTCTGGTTATGAATGCAAAGACCTGTATTTTTAGAGTTCCATAGTTTCCCTTTTTTCCCCTCGTACTGGGCATTGCTCCCAGGGCCTTCATACTGAGGTATATTCCTAGCCCTTTCTGGAATTCTGAGTTTGCCCATGCTGGATTCAAGCTTGTGGTCTTCCTGTCTCAGCACTTCCTTCCAATAGTGCTTGATTAGGGTTGGTTTTATTTCTATATTAAACAATAGGGGGGCCGGGGAGATGGCTCAGTAGAATTAAGTGCTTGCCTGGCAAGTGCAAGGGCCTGAGTTCAATCCCCGGTCCCACCAAAAAACAAAACAAAACAAAAAATAAATGATACGTATTTTTCCATTACTCATAAGGCAGAAGGATTATAAATTTGAGCCCTAAAAAAAAAAAAAATGGGTATGTAACTGGTGATAGATAGAGCATCCCAGGTTGAATACCTATTACTGCAACAGAAAAAGAAAGGAAAAGAGGGTGGGAGTGGTGGTGGTGAAGGAATATGACCTACTTGCTTAAGGTTTTCATGGAGTAGTTTAAGGCCACATATATACCTGTATTTCCTGGTCAATATTAATGAGGAAGTCTCTTAGTCAAATAGAAAAACTTTTCATATTGTTTCTTCTCTGAATTTTCTTTAGACCGTGACTATCCTGCAAGCAACTTACAGAGTTTGCATTTAGAAACTTAAATTTCGAAGGAATTACTTACTTCTTTTGAATTTATAATAAAAAGACAAGCTAATGCTAACGTTTGATAGATAAAGTAAGCCAAAAATACAGTGAAACAGACTTTATGGCAAACAAATTAGGGCTGTAAGACTATCATTAAAAAAGGAAAGGTTAGACTTTTGAAGAGAGATCACTAAACATAGTATGTTATCAACATGTTTGATAGTGTATGAGCATGCAATTTTAATAAGACCCATTGGTCGTAAATTTTATCAAGCTAAAATTAGCCCTAACTTCAATGAAATAATTTTGTAGGTGATATAATTGAGTCATAAACTTATGAATAAATTCCTTTTAATTTTTTTGATATTCTGTCTAAAAATTTTAAGTGAGCAAGGTTGTATGTTCTTGTTAACCCAATCCAGTAATTTTTTTTTAGTAATTGTTTGCTTCTTCTGTAATTTTCTAAGGAAAACCAGCTATTCATAATTTTTTCCCCTTATTCTTTTTTCTCTCCGCACAGAAATGGCAGGATATTATTAAGGAAGTCAGGTTTCTACAAAGAATAAAACATCCCAACAGTATAGAATACAAAGGCTGCTATTTACGTGAACACACAGCATGGGTTGGTATATGTTTCCTCCTTGTTTCAATTTTAGTTGACTTTGGTCTAGAATAAATGAATTTAAAATGTCTCAAATGATTTGTTTTAAGGCATGCAAAAACACCTGATATGTAGTTCATCCTAAGAGAGGAAATGTAGCATTCCTCTTCTAGCATCCTGCACTCTAGACAAAAAGAGGTATAGAAATTTTGCAAGTCTACTGCAAATTTTCTTTAAAATTCTGTTGACCTTCCTATAAATGGTAAAATGGCCTCTAATACTGTGAGTGGTACCACCCAAACATTGCAAACAGTCCTGTTGCTTTAGAATGAAAACTAACATATCTTTTTAGCATAAATGGATTATAACTTAATTGCCAGAAGTATCTTGGTAGTATGAACTAATCATGATTCCTTGGCTGAATAATACTAAAGGAGGAAAATTGTGATTTTTTTTTTTACAAGAACAAGTGTTGTTTTTTGGTCTTTTTGAGACAGGGGTTCATGATACAGTTTAGTCTGCCCTTGAACTCATTTTGTAGCCCAGGCTGTCCTTGAATTTGCAGCAATCCTCCTGCCTCAGCCTTTCAAATGCTGGGAAAGAACTAGCAATTAATTTTATCTGTTGTTTACATTGAGGCAATATGTTAGTTATTCTGCATTGGTCCCATAATATGCATAGTAACTGTGTATGTTAGGAAAAAAAATACAATTTCCTTTAAACAGGAATTATTCCTTTTTTGAATAATAAAGCACAGTTTGTTATTTTAATATATGTCCTTTTTTTTTTTTTCAGAACTGGGGATTGAACTCAGGCCCTTGTGCTTGTTATTTTAATATAGTTGGCTTAGCTTTAGATTTATAGTATCTGGGGGGCTTTTTATTTAATTTGACTTTGATGTTGTGATGGCTCCTAAAATGGAGGGTATGATTTTTTTTTATTATTATTTTTAATCATTTATTTATTTATTTGGTACAAAGTCTCAATATACAGCTCAGGCTTGTAGTGCTCATCCTGTCTGAGCCTTCCCAATGCTGGGATTACAGGCATGTGCCACCATGCCTGATTTCTATAGTCAGCATGGCTTCCAGGGCCAGCACAGCATGTGGTACCAATAATCAAACCCAGGTCCTTGAACTTGCCAGGCAGGTGCTCTAGTCTTGCTATTCCCTGGTTCCAGTTGAGGGTATGATTAAAGAAAAAGCAGTGGCATTGGGCAAGTTAACTAACTCTATGTCTCTTAATAATAGTAGGGTATAACTTTTAAATTTGTTGAGAATTAAAATGGTTGTGTTTTTGTGTGTGTGTATACACACACATGTGGCACAGATGTGGTGCTGCGTTTGCTTTAAAGGAAACATTTAAAGCTAGAAGTGATGGTGAATACCTGTAGTTCCAGCTGTTTTGAGAGGACAAGGCAAAAGGAAGATCATTTGGGTCTAAGAGTTCAAAGCTAGCCTAAGCAACATGCAACATATTAGAGAAGCTAAAAGAAAAAGGGAAGGAGAAAAACAACCATTTGTTACCTTTAAACCATATCCATACCATTTTAAAGTTTAGTTTTCTATCTCCTAACAACTTCGAAGTTTAGTAGTAATAGTTGTATGTGTGTGTTTATGTATGTGTGTATATATACTGTATACATATATGTTAGCCATAGTTTATAGAAGTTATATGTTGCCATTAAAAGATAAATGTATCCTTGGCTTATTTGATACATATATTTAATTACTAAATGTGTAACTTTTTTAAAGCAAGTGGTGACTGGAGTTTGTTTTCCTTCAGATTCTTTTTTTGACCTCCTAGGCAAATTAATTTTATCTCAAATGCAATACATTGTTATATTTTAATGCTTCCATAATTTTTGTTTCTATAGCTTGTAATGGAATATTGTTTGGGATCTGCTTCAGATTTACTAGAAGGTAGGTTTCCTTTCATTATTCAGAAAAGAATGTTAACAAAATACAGTTAGAGATTATTTAAACAATGACACTACAAAACATGAAATCTCTCTGTCTCTCCATCTCTCCGTCTCTCTGTCTCTCTGTCTCTGTCTCTCTGTCTCTGTCTGTCTCTGTCTCTCTCTCTCTCTGTCTCTGTCTGTCTCTGTCTCTCTCTCTCTCTCTCTCTCTCTGTGGCCCTTGAACACTTTCTAGGAAAAGTAAGATCCTTAGCTTTTCCCAGAATTACAGTACAGTATATTCTATTCTTATGAGTCTTACATGGTTGTGTAAAACATGCAAGTTTTCCTTTATTGTAACTTTTCTACCATTTTTCTAGATTCTTTATCATTCATCTTGATCTGTTTCTTCTGTTCAAAACAAAGATAAGTGTGAATAGTGGAAGAACTCATTTTCTTTTCTTTTTTTTTTTTTTTACGGAACCGGGGATTGAACTCAGACCCTTGCACTTGCCAGGCAAGCGCTGATTCTACTGAGCCATCTCCCCAGCCCATTAATTTTATTTTCATGATCATCAAATAATTGCTCAATATTGGTAGCTTAGGACAGGTAGAGTGGCACATACTTGTAATCATAGCACTCAGTAATTTGAGGCAGATAGGAAGATTACAAGTTTGAGGCCATTCTGAGCTAGGTAGCGAGACCCTCACTCTCCACAAGAAAGAAGAGGGACTAAAAAAAGTTAGCTAAGAAGGAAATTGGCCGAGAATTACATTTAACAACCAGCACAACTGTGTACTAGTTATAAAGTTCAGTGGCCTTATTTTATCATTGTGGGAGATAAATCTCTTCTTGCTAAATGTCTGCTTTTAAAAATTACTCATACATCAGATATATATTTATACTAATACATATTTATATATCTTTTAAACAAAATATTCTAGGTAATAATTATCTTTAAATAAATTCTTATTTTAAGTTCACAAAAAGCCACTACAAGAAGTGGAAATAGCAGCAATAACACATGGTGCTCTCCAGGGATTAGCCTACTTACATTCTCATACAATGATCCATAGGTAAGTACTTTGAAAATTATATTTACAGGTAACTGGCATGTTGCATTTATCAGCCCTCAAGTTTAGTAACACTGATTTTTTTATGCAAACAAAATTGTATAAACTCATTTATTAAATCACTTTTGTTTGTTTCTAAACGAATATAGTAATACAGTTGATCTCTGTGTTTAGGATGACTTTTATCTGTGCCTACCTATATCACTAGCTGTTGTAAATAATAACTTTGTGAATTTATGGTAGAAATTTAATTAATCATTTAATTTTTAGAGTGGAAAAATATGTTAAGCATTATATAGTTTGTCTTTTTCGTTTTATAGGTGAAGAAACTTACGTCCCAGTTTGTGACTATAATTTCCTAAAGGGTGCAAAGGCTAATAGATGAGAGATAGAATATAACAAATCCTTCATTTTCCTAGTTATTGATAATTGCAAATTTGCTTCTTTGATTCTATGATATAAACAAAGAATATGCTTTTGAGGACTAATTCTTAGCAATCTTTGGCAATGGGTATTAATCATTTAATCATGAGGTTAAAATACTACTTTATAATGTATTATTTAATAGGTTTTAGCTGTTATAGGAAGAAACTAGTGTTTTAAAATTATAAACTAGAACTGATATAGAATCATTATGAGTTAATGGGTTATCATTGTTTTAGATGAAGTTTAAAGTCCAAGATAAATCTAATAGTAGCAAAGGAATGAGCAGTAGACTTGGAATTAAAACACAGGATATTCTCATCTTCAGAGTACTTCTCTATGTAAAAGGCCCAAGCTTTAATCCCCAGTATCCCTGAAGAAACAAAAAACCTAAAATAAATAAAAATAAAAGACATTATACTCTTCCTAGTTGAAAAACAAATGGAAGGAAAATAGATTCACATTATATACACTAAAATACTTCACTAAAAATCAACAAATGCTTGAAAATTCAGTTTTCCTTTTTTTAATTTGAAACGTTAACAATATGTTGTAGTGTTCACTGGACATACAATCCCACTGTGTAAGAATTTGAAACGTTAACAATATGTTGTAGTGTTCACTGGACATACAATCCCACTGTGTAAGAATCTATAACTAAGGGGCCCGGGGAGATGGCTCAGTAGAATAAGTGTTTCCCTGGCAAGCACAAGGGCCTGAGTTCAATCCCCGGTTCCCCCTCCCCCCCAAAAAAAAAAAGAATCTGTAACTTTCTTTGTTTACTGTTTCAAGGAAATGAGTTTGAAAGTAAATCTGGGATCATTCTCCATATATTTCAGTTTTAATATTTAGGAGAGCTGTGCTAACATTTGAAAATGGTGTAAATAATCCATTTTTTCAAAAAAATTTAAAGTTTTTTTTTCTTTTTTTTTTCTTCTTCAATATTAACTGGGGTGCACAGACTAAACATGTCATCCATAAAGGGATTGTGAACCAATTACATAAATTCTATTATGAAAGTCATTGTTATTCTCATTAGCACAAGTTCAAATGTAGACTATCTGCTGCAGTTACCTGATTTTTCTTTTAAAACTATTTGTATTCTTCTTTAAAAAATTGTTACTATCAAAAAAAAAAATTGTTACTATCTACTTACTTGCATTCTGTGTTTTTGTTACATTTCTCCATATCTATCACTTGTTTTTTTATAATTTTAAACAATCTAATGTAGCTAAAATAAATAATTTTCTATGTTCCTTAAACTCAGAGATATCAAAGCAGGAAATATCCTTCTGACAGAACCAGGCCAGGTGAAACTTGCTGACTTTGGATCTGCTTCCATGGCATCCCCTGCCAATTCTTTTGTGGGAACACCATATTGGTAAGAATAGTTCTATCTAATATTGAGTCTCATAATTGAAAAACACAATGTGTTGTTATGCTTTTTTCAAAATTTCTTTTTTTTTTTAATTTTTTTTTTTTTATTTATTTGAGAGAGAGAGAGAGAGAGAGAGAGAGAGAGGTGTGTGTGTGTGTGTGGCCAGCTCAGCCCACCAGGGGGCGGGGCTGGCTGGCATGTGGTGCTGGGGGATTGAACCGCGGTCCCTGATGCCTTGCCGAGCTTGTTCTAAGTAGGTGCTTTAGACCACTGAGCCATCTCTCCAGCCCCACTTTTTTCAGATGACTTTCTTTGTTTTTGAAAATATATCCTTTCTGGGTGAATATTTTTACTTTATTTTTATTATTACTATTTTTTTTTGTGGAACCGGGGATTGAACTCAGGACCCCGTGCTTGCCAGGCAAGATATTTTTACTTTAAATAATTAATTTTAAATATAGATTTAGAGTACTGTCTTTGTATCTCTCTCTTTTTTAAAAAAAATCTATTTGGTTGTTACAGCATCTTACTATGCAGCTCAGACTCACAGTGATCCTCCTGTTCTCAGACTCCCCAGAGTGGGGATTATTACAGGCATGCCCCACTATGCCCGGACTCTGTGGCTGGCTCAGCTTGCCCTGGGGCTGGCACAGCATGTCGTTCCAGGGATCAAACAGTGGTCCCTGCACTTGCCTAAGCTTGACTAAGCAGGAGCTTTAGTCCGCTGAGCTATCTTGCTGGCCCCTGCATCTCCTTTTTATCTCTTTATCTTTTTTTTTTTTTTTAATATAGGGTCTATAATGTCTCACTACACAGATCGGACTCAGTGATTCTCCTATTTTCAACCTCCCAAGCGCTGGAATTACAGGCATGTGCCATCATGCCCAGTCTCAGTTGCTGTCTCAGTGCCCAGACTGGCACAGCAGGCAGGGGCAGGGAATTGAACCCGAGTCCCTGTGCCTGCCTAAGCAGGTGCTTCAGTCAGCTGAGCTATCTGGCTGGCCTCTTTTCATCTTTTTTAATATCTTGTTATTTCTATTTCATTTTATCCCTTTTTGTTACATGATATATTATGGGAATGAAAGAAACTACAAATACACATAAAAGTTGATTTAAGTCTGATGATTTCATAAATGCCATTTACCCAGGCCAGTAACATTATCACATTTCTTTTCATCGTTTTTATTTTATTTATTTATTTATTTTTTTGTGGTACTGGGAATTGAACTCAGGACACTGAACTTGCAAGCGCTTATTCTACTGAACTATCTCCCCAGGCCCATGAGTCCCTGATGGTCTCTTGTTTCTTTCTACGATTTTGAAGTCTTAGGCATCATCTGATTTCTTCTGTAAATAATTCAGTATGTACCTGTCAGCCGACGTTTGTTTTTTTTTTTTTTGTTTTTTTTTGGCAGAACCAGAGATTGAACTCAGGCCCTTGTACTTGCCAGGGAAGTGCTTATTCCACTGAGCCTTCTCCCTGGCCCGAAAATTTGAAGTAATTTGCTTTTTTTTTTTCTGGTGGTACCGGGGATTGAACTCAGGCCCTGGCGCTTGCCAGGGAAGCACTTACTCTACTGAGCCATCTCCCCTGCCCTTGTCAGCTGAAATTTGAAAGGAATTACTTTTCATATCTTCGACTCCCATATGAATCTGCTTTTATGTATACTAAAAGTGATGCCTTAAGTCTCCTGCATCTTCTTTTTGTCTGCCTTTCAGATCTCCCATATAATAGACAGCTTTTTTTAGCTATCCTGATTATTATAATGATGTATTTGCTCTGGGATGTAAAAGCCTCACAAGTATATCGGTGATACATTTGAGAATGCTTAGCAAGTATCTGTGAGAAATATTGAAAGATCAGGGCACAAATAGATGACGTGGTCTTGTGCCTTTCCTTTTTTTTTTTTTTTTTTTTGTAGAACTGGATATTGAACTCAGGATCATTCTACTAAGCTATCTTCCCAGCCCCTCCTTCCTTCCCTTTCACTCATCTTTTTCTTCTTCTCCCCAAAGCTCCCTTTTCCCTCTTTTTGTATTTCCTGTAGTATGGGATTCTGACCAGAGATGATTGTTTTGTTGACACATGAATATGTTTAATTGTGTTAAAAAATGAAGTCGGACTTTTCCTCACCTGAAGTCATTTAATTTGTCTGATTTATGTGACATGAAAATTACTTTTGCTGACTAGTTTATATGGTACGGTTTTTATTTCTTTTCTTTCTTTCTTTTTTTTTTTTTTTTTTTTTGCGGTACCAGGGATTGAACTCTGGACCCTGTGCTTGCCAGGCAAGCAGTTATTCTAGTGAGCTATCTCCCCAGCCATGGTACTGTTTTTAATAAATAGTGAATTAATTCTGCAGCTCCTAAGTTTTAAGTATCTTTAAAGCATATATATCTTTCACAGCTGTTACACTTACAAAATGTAGATAACAATCCCTGAAAGTGCAAGGGAATAAATTTTTCTTATAAATTCTAGGAGATAAATGAGTTGGCAAATTGAAGCTCTATTGTAAATGACCCAAAATTTTTTTTGTAAGCCCTAGTTTATATATACCTATCTATACTTTTTATTTCTTTCTATAAAAATGAATTCTCTGATCCAGTAATACTTCGTGTTTTCCCTCTTTGGAAATTTATGATGTACATTAGATATTAAAAATGTCCTACAAGTCCTTCATTGAAAAACACGTTACTTCTCTTAACTTTTGCTTAAGTTAGTAACTTTTTTTTTTTGTTTTTTTTTGTTTTGTTTTGTTTTATTTTGTTTTTGTGGAACCAGGGATTGAACTCAGACCCTTGCGCTTGCCAGGGAAGTGCTCGTTCCACTGAGCCATCTCTCCAGCCCCTAGTTAGTAACTTCTTAAACTCAATTCAAACCCTTAAAGAAACTTTGTGAAACCAGACTTGGTGGTGCATGCCTGCAATCCCAGCAGCTCAGAAGGCTGAGGCAGGAGGATTGTCGCAAGTTCAAAGCCAACACAGGCTACATAGTGAGTTCAAGGCTAGGCTCAACTATATAGCAAGACCCAGTCCCAAAGGGGGAAAGAAAGCATAAAAGTAGAAAAGGAGGAAAGATAGAAGGGAACTTGTAAAACATCAAGTTATGGACAATTAAAAATTTTCTTGATTAGCATGCTTGTTATTTTTATATTTAGAACACAAAAATTGAGTACATACATTTTTGTACACACACATTTGGCATGGCTATTAAATTTATTGAAGCAGTTACAACTCTTACAGAGATGTTTATGCTTAATACAAAATACAAATGAAGTGTAAAGTACCACTGAGAATGTTACATTCTAATTTAGACATGAATTGGAGTTTATTAATCCCATAGACTTGATAACTGTGGATTGTTTGCTTGGTAAGCTACCTTTGCCACTCTTACTATTTAATATTTTTTTCTCTGAGAGACACATATAAACTGTGATTGTTTGGTCTTAGTTATAGCGGCAGAGTTTCTCAGGTAACTCAAGTGAGGTTGTCAGTTCAAGAATAACTGACAATGTTTGCTGCTAGTGGGAAAATTCAATCTTTCAAACAAAAATTAAGACTTTTGTGAGGAAATCCTGAGACCTGTGTTTGTGAGCCATTGCCCTAAAGGGTATGTAACGTTGGAATCTGCGGATTTGAACAGATGCAGAATAAAACCTTTTTCTAGACTTCTTCCTTCTGTTTGAGTGCTGTTACATGATCATGACAGTACTGAAAATGAATCTGACACTTTATATGCATTGCTAAATATTTACCTCACAATTTCTTTTCTTTTTTTTTGGTGGAACCGGGGATTGAACTTATTCTACTGAGCTATCTCCCCGGCACTGACCTCACAATTTCTAATGTAATTATTTCTGATTATAAAATTCTTACATCCACATATGTGGGCTAAAATGCAAACCCTTTTCCACGTCTCTGGTCTTTACATTCTCAAAGTATAGCATACTTTTTAAGTATGACTTTAATTGAAATGAACATTTTATGTTTTAGGATGGCCCCAGAAGTAATTTTAGCCATGGATGAAGGACAATATGATGGCAAAGTTGATGTATGGTCTCTTGGAATAACATGTATTGAACTTGGTAAGGACTGTTCATTATATTCTACTTGATGTTAAATTAGGTCTAAGATAAATTTCCACTGCAGTTTCAAGTTTGAGCTGTGTCTAACCTTAGTCAGTACTTGTTAAATACCTAACTCTATCATTACGAGTTTTATCATCTGTAAAAGGACTAAAGCATTCATGAATTACCTCTGCCTATGGTAGTTGTCACTTTAAGTCATGCATGAAAATTAGATCTCAGGCTGCATATTACATTGGAACAGTTTTATTTTCTTGTTTGTTTGTTTGTTTGTTTGTTTGTTTTTGTATTTTAGGGAAGGGTCTACAGGGTGTTCAAGGTCTCACTACTAGATTGGACTCATAGTGATTCTCCTGTTTACAGCCTCCCAAGAGCTGGGATTACAGGCACGCACCACCGTGCCCTCTGTCAATTGCAATTTCAGCGTGCCCTAGGGGCGGGGCTGGCATGGCAGGCCTGGGGAATCAAACCCCCGGCCCCAAGATAGCAGGGCAGAATTTATTCATAAGGGGACCGTGGAGATAGGTGTAAAAATACATGAAGTCAGGGGCGGCCAGATAGCTCAGCAGACTAAAGTACCTGCTTAGGCAGAGTGCAGTGGCTGGGGTTCGATCCCTGGTATGCTATGCTGGCCCTGCCCATAGGGCACACTGAGACTGCGATTAAGACTGGGTGTGGTGGTGCGCGCCTATAATCCCAGCTTTTGGGAGACTGAAAACAGGAGAATCAGTACGAGTCCGATCTATTAGTGAGACCCTGTAGACCCTATACCAGATACATTAAAAAGAATCCATGAAGTGGTGCTTGTAGTTGAGAAAACAGATTGGATTCAACTCTCTTAGCAGTTTGATTATATGTGTACATTTTGTTTTGTTGCTCCTAAGGGGAAATATACTAAAAACAGTGGATCATTGGATCATTTAGCTTAGTAAGGTGGGTAAGTGAACTGTTACAGTTTATTATTTACTTGTCCCAAGCAAATATAAACTCGTGTTTCCCATTGAGAGTTTATGAGAAAGTTGTAAAATTTGAACCCATTTA